TAATGACCCCCTGCCCAGGCACCAACCAACCAATCCATGGAGACCTAGACCCCGAAAGGACACACCTGGGAAACTGCTGAATATTCTATTGGAGCTTCTCCTGGGACCTCCCCTAACATCTCCACTCTTAAAACCCTTAGGGCACCCTCACCGGTTTGACTCAGTGGCTAGAAATTCAAGGGTCTCAAGTTCCATTCCAGTCAAGGGCACATGCCTAGGTTGCATGCTTAATCCCTAGTGGGGGGCATACAGGAGGCAGCTGATCAATGATTCTCTCCATTGATGTTTCTATTTTTCTCCCTTTCTGAAATCAATAAAAAATATATATTTTAAAAAATAATATATTTTATTGATTTTTTATTTTATGGAGAGGAAGGGAGAGAGATAGAGAGTTAGAAACATCGATGAGAGAGTCATCGATCAGCTGCCTCTTGCACATCCCCTACTGGGGATGTGCCCGCAACCAAGGTACATGCCCTTGACCGGAATCGAATCTGGGACCTTTCAGTCCGCAGGCCGACGCTCTATCCACTGAGCCAAACCGGTGCCGGCTAAAAATATATTTAAAAAAAACAAACAAAAAACCCCTTAGGGCCCTGGCTGGTTTGGCTCAGTGGATAGAGCGTCGGCCTGTGGACTCAAGGTCCCAGATTCGATTCTGATTAAGGGCTCAATCCTTAGTAGGGGTCATGCAGGAAGTAGCCGATCAATGATTCCCTTTCATCATTGGTGTTTCTAACTCTCTCTTCCTTTCCCTTCCTCTCTGACATCAATAAAAATACATAATTTTTAAAAAACCCAGACATGTGCCCTGACTGGAAATCAAACCCTGACCTTCTGGTTCATAGATTAACGTTCAACCACTGAACCACGCCAGTTGAGCTTCCTGAGCCCATTTCTTCTACAAATTACTTCTTCTATCTCTGTGATTTTCTAAATAACTGTTGCCTCATAGTTTGAGTCTTGGCTTTGAATTCTTTCCTAGTCAGAACTCAAGTACTGAGGTTGCAGAACCCAGGTATGGTCTCACCTCACGGTCTACAGCAGGTACCCTGCCACAGTGGAGCAGACAGTTTTGTGTTTTTTGTTTTTTTAATATATATATACTAGAGACCCAGTGCATAAAATTTGTGCATGGGGGCAGGGGCTGTCTGTCCCTCAGCCCGGCCTGCACTCTCTCTAATCTGGGATCCCTTGGGGAGTGTCCAATTGCCGATCCCTATGAGATCGGGCCTACACCGGCAGTCGAATACCTCTCTCACAATCGGGGACTGCTGGCTCCTAACTGCCTGCCTGCCTGCCCACCTACCTGATTGTCCCTAATCACTTCTGTCTGCCACCCTGATCACCCCCACTGCCATCCCCTGCAGGCCTGGTCACCTCCAACTGCTCTTCCCTGCAGGCCTGATCTCACCAACCGCCTTCACTTGCTGGCCTGGTTGCCCCCAACTGCCCTTCGCTGCTGGCTATCTTGTGGCAGCAATCTTGTGATAACAAGGGGGTGGCTGTAGAGGGCCCCTTGGGAATGCACATGGATGACCTTTAAATTAATGTCAGCTGAGTGTGAGGTGACTGGCAAGGCCGTCCCCCGGAAACAGCCTCCCAAAATGTGGAGACTGTGATCAGTACCAATTTCTTATCTTTATCCATGTGCTTGGAATGAGGAAGAAAGAGGACCTTGACTTACCCTGGTCTTAATATGCTAAATCCCAGGAATGGGGGAATGAATAGGACCTGGGCACACCCAAAACTTCTTTGACCTTAGACCCCCCTCTGGAAATCAATAAATGCGCTGTGTGGTCTGTGGTGGGTGGTTGACTGTCTCTCCATCAGAGTTACAGCACCCCACCCGGATTCCAGCTTGAATCCATTTCTGCCTCTTGGTCTCTTTTTTTTCCTTTAATTTCTTTTTTTTTTTTTTAAATATATATTTTATTGATTTTTTTACAGAGAGGACGGGAAAGGGATAGAAAGCCAGAAACATCAATGAGAGAGAAACATTGATCAGCTGCCCCCTACACCCCCACCCCCACTGGGGATGTGCCTGCAACCAAGGTACATGCCCTTGACCAGAATCGAACCTGGGACCCTTTAGTCCACAGGCCAACGCTCTATCCACTGAGCCAAACCGGTTTTGGCTCCTTTAATTTCTATCCCCGGCTCCTCCACTCAGGAACCTGCCGTTTTCCGTGCGGGTCGCGGAAGACAGAGACAGCCCCCACAGGTGGCCATCTTGTGATGACGTTGTGTGTGACGCCACCTAAGCTTTCATTATATAGGAAATTGATTTCAGAGCGGGAGTGAGGGGGAGAGAGAGATGGAACCATCAATGATGAGAGAGAACCATTGGTAGGCTGCCTCCTGCGCAGCCCACACTGGGGATGGAGACCTCAATCCGGGCCTGTGCCCTGACCTGGACTCTAACCATGACCTCCTGGCTCACAGGTTGATGCTCAACCACTGAGCCAAGCCCGCCAGGTGAGCAGACAGCTTTGAAGAACTGTCTGCGTGCCATGTGCTTAGCCAGTGCTGCAAAAAGTTGAGACATTGGGCACCAGGAATGATTCCAAGATTGCAAAGGAAGACTGAGGTGAGTGGGCCCGAGAGGCATTCGATTTCTATGCTGAGTTCAACCATCAGTGCCCACTCAATGTTACTCTCCAGCTGCCTCTCACACACCCCTCACAGGCATCCACGTGGCGCCCACCCAAGTCCATTGCCCTGCCCCACACTCCAGGTGAGAGATTCTGTGGCTTCAGTCCCTTCGTTATTAGGGGACTTTTTCAGAGAAGTCCCGAGTCTGCCCTCATTGGCCCTTCCCCTGATCGTGGCCCTCTATGAGATCACTCATACCGTTTGCTGGCGGCCTGCTCCCATCATGTGCTCAGGGGCCAGATCATTACTTGTCCCTTATTATCCGACAGGTGGAATACCCCATCCTTCATACCCCATAGTCTAACGTCCACCTTCCTGGCATGCCCAGTGTAGGGCTCTGCTGCCTTTCTGGCCCCTGACCTCTGGTGGTCTCTGGTAGCTCCATTCTCTGTCACACACACACACACACACACGAAATTATGAACATGTTTTTAGAGTGACCCCATATTTTACAAGCGTCTTTGATCAAGGACCTTAACATCTGAGGTGTGTACAACTGGAACATGACATGGTAGTGTCGTGATTTTAATTGCCTAATAAATTAATTTTAATTTATTTTAATGCTACTCAGATGGCTAGGTAATAAAAACTTGTTCAAACAATGCACTAAGTGATTTTGACAAAATAGGATTTTCTTGTATTAGTTTGGTTGCACACCCAGTGACCTTAATGAACACTTCAGAAGTGAGACAGCAAACACGCAGGCAGTGCAGGCGGAGCCGGCCTCGGGGACCTGCAGGCAGGGGCCTGAATTGCCACCGAGCAGAGCAGCTGCCCGGAACTGCCCCTGCCCCGGTTGGCCTGACCCAGTGCAGCGGCACCAGGCTGAGGGACCAGACCCTGCGGGGAGCTCAGTCTCAGAACCACAGAAACGAAGGCTGTTTGGAGAAACTACTTCCTCACCCACAGAACCCCATGCTCCCTGCAGCCCACAGCCCCCTGGGGCCTCCTCCCACCCAGGTCTCCGCTCCCTGTCATTGGATCTGGGTGCTGGAAACTTCCTCCTGGCAGCAGAGAGGGTGCGCAGAGGGGCCCAGACCTCCGGGCCCTGGCCTTCTAGCAGCGCCCCAGCTCCCTCCTGACAGAGACCCTCAGCCCTGCACTGCCCACCCGTTCTCCCAGCCTCCGAGACGCCTGCTCGCCATGCTGCCCTCACCAGCTGCAAGCCCTGCAGGGCCTGGCCGGTTTGGATCAGTGGATAGAGCATTGGCCTGTGGACTGAAGGGTCCCAGGTTTGATTCTGGTCAAGATTTGATCCTCTGCCCTGATCAGGTGCGTTCGGGAGGCAACCATGGCTGTGTCTCTCCCCCTCCCTTCCACTCTCTCTAAAAAAATCAATGGAAAGGGTATCCTCAGGTGATGATTAACAACAAAAACCACAACAGAAGAGGGAGAGGGAGGCGTGCCGAGGCCCCGCCCAGGAGCGGACAGTCTGAGCGCTTGAAACTGCCACGGCCATCTTGGACTCTGGCAGGCTGCGGGCTCCGGGCGGAGGCTGATGGACACCCCTCCCCACCTCCCCGTGTCCACCCCTCCCTGGGTGTAAAACTCAAACCAGTATCATGAAGCAAGTGCTGGCTCCCGCCCTTCCCTGCTCGAGCAGGCCCCTCGGGTTTTCCCATCTGCAAAGTGGGCGTTTGAGCTCCCCCACCCCCCACGTCACTGGCTCTGCCTGGGGGGTGAGGATGGGAAATTCTCAGCAGGGAGCCCTGCAGTGTTGGCGGCTTTTCTGCAGATTGGGGTGCCCTGGAGCCGCCACCGGTCCAGCCTCTGCTCAGGCCGAGGCCAAGCTGGAGGGACAGGGGGGCAAGACCCCCTCAGGGGATGGCAGCGAGGCACCGACCGAGGGGGCCCGCCTGTGACCGTGCTGGAAGGGAGTCAGAAACAGACCGAGGTGCGGGGACGGAAGCTGCGCCCTGAGGAACATCCGCTCGCCCCCATGCTTGTTATTTTTATCTCCCGGCGGCCTCCCCACCGGGACTCCCCGCAGCACAGAACGGCTACAATCAAAGCTGTGTGCTCGCTGGGGGACACAGGCACGCGGAAGCAGGAACATGGTGTCCCAGGCGAGGGTGGTGGCCCCAGGAAGGGAGAGGGACTCGGGGCCCCGTGTGTGCCTGCTCCACCAGGGCAGCCGGGGGTTCAGGGTCCGCCAGCTTCACCGGGGGCAGGACACTGGCCCAGGACTCGGAGATGGGGGCAGGCCAAGCACCACAGCCGGCCCTCCGCAGGGTTCCGGAGCCCAAGAGGAGACCTGATTCAGCAAGAGACCAGGTGACCGCCAGGCGTGCCCAGGCTCCCTCACCACCGTGGGAGAGAGGACTGACAGAGGCGACAGTTCCCAGTGGGAGGGGAGGCAGTTTATTGTTGACACTCAGAGGGGGGCAGCCAGGGGGCTCCATCAGCATCTCCTCCCAGCGTTTGGCTGAGTCAACCACTTCTCTTCCCAAACCCCCAGGCTGTGTAAGGCAGACAAGGTCCTCCCCCCCCCCCCCCCCAGGGGCTCAGGCAGGTGGTGGGCTTGGGGTCAAGTTCAAGTATTCAGTTCTCCCTCCCAGACTACACTGCGCCCGGACACAGGAGCGTATCCAGCCTCGGGGCTTCCCAGAAACGTCAAGGCGACCTCCTGCCCCTTCCCTGACCATCACAAACCACAGTCCTCAACCCTACGGCCCCGAGGAGGCCTCTGACCCCGGGTGTGGAGTGACGGGGCAGGCAGTCTCACGAGCAGTGACGCCTCAGGCAGGTGGCGAGGGGAAGGGAGCGGACGGAGGACCTTGGGAGGCGGGTGGGCGGGACCTGAGGATAACGTCAGACAGCGGTCTGCGTCCTCACCCACACCCCGGGCCCTGATCCCTGAGAGTCCGCTGGCCGAGGCAGTACAGGTGGGGCAGGGAAGTTCAGCCGGTCCTTGTCCCCCAACCCCGGACAGCCTGTTGGGGGCAGGGTGCTTTGGAAGGGCCAGGACTGGGCTCCAGGCCAGCTCTGACCTTCCTTAACAGCTGAACTGGGACATAGGAGAGGCCTGCTAACCCCATCCCAGGTCCTGGCTGCTGCAGAGTGGTGGGGACGAGGGTGGGGGTGTCCTAAGGGCATTATAAAAAGCTAAAACCATTCAAAACTTCTTGGGAAAAGCTTCTTGCTTCCCCAAGTTATCAACCTCCCCAAAGCCCGGCAGAGAGGGGGTCCATTAGCACCATGCAATGTTGGGGTGCCCCTGCAGCCTGACCGACCCCGGGCAGGGGCCCTTCAAAGTTGGGGTGCCACTTCTAAAGCTTCTGTACCCGTGACGGGGACCCCTGCCGGGCACAGGGGAGGGAAGAAGGCTTGGCCGAAGTCCAGGCGGGGTCTCAGCTGGGACCCCAAAGGACCCTCCCGGGTCATGACTGGAAGAATCTTCGTACCACAAACTGGCCAAACAGAACCAGAGCTAGAACTATCAGCACGTTCCGGATGGGGCCGTTGCCCAGGTCCAGGGCTGCCACCTGCCAGGAGACGGGGTGAGAGAGAGTGGTCAGAGGGGCTGGCAGGGGGTGGTCAGAGGGGCTGGCTGTGGGTACAGGCACCAGGGACTGGGGGGACTCAAAGGGGCAGCCCAGCAGCTCGGGAGGCTGCCAGCGCTGGGCACTCACCCAGCCACCCCGCTGCGCGATCCAGCGGGCGATGCAGTGGTGCAGGATGAAGTCGGCCACGAAGCGGGTCACCTGGCCCAGGAAGCCGGTCAGGCCTCGCTGGTAGACGTGGAGGGCCAGGCGGTAGCCGAAGCCCAGGAGAGCCACCACCCGGCCCCAGTTGATGCCGCTCTCAAACAGGCTGCGGGCAGAGCACAGCCGTCAGTGGGTGCCCAGGGGGCTGCTCCCCACCGCCCCCCCCCCCAGCGGGAAAGCAACACGACTTAGCGGTGAGTCAGGTGGCAGAGGTGCCTGCCTGGCTGCTGTTCGGGGGGAGCCTGCATCTCTGAAAGGAGAGAGCTCAGAGGGCACAGACAGGCCACCCCGCCAAGGGCTCAGGGGCACAGGGCAGAGCAGTGGAGAGGCAGCAGGGACATTACCTGTGGGCACTGCTGCTGGCCTGGCAGCGAGGGGCAGCAGAGAGAAAAGGACAGAAGAGGAGGTTAGGGCACATCCTGGAATCGCACGGTGGGGCTGGCCTCTGAGGGCCTGGGCGGGCTCCAGCTGAGCACGACCCCGGACCCGAAGCCTCTGCTACCCCTGCTCTCACCCAGCTCCACGCCTGCCGTGGTAACAGGATAACCCCTGTGCGTGCGCCCCTCCTGAGCGCCCGCCCCATCTTCCGGGCGAGGAGACAGAGCGAGGCCGGTCACAAAGACGGCAAGTGGCAAAGCGGAGCCCTGACCGGCATTCGGTCTCTAACCACCGCACCGGCTGCCTGTCCGGGGACCTGGCAGCAGGGGCAGCTGACTGTCTTTGGTGTGAGGAGTGGCTCTGAATGAGGACAGCGCTGCCTCCCGGGGCGGCTCTGGGGACCTGCCACCCGGCCCTCCGCAGGCCTGATCCGGACGGCCGAGCGCTCGCACCCGGAGAGGAGGACTCGGGGACCAGCACGCGGAGGGCGGGCGTGGGGCGCACACGCCTCCGGGCGCTGACGGAGAGGTGTCCCTCCGGGGCTGGCGGCCTACCTGGAGGCGATCTTGGTGAAGTACTGGTAGGCGTTCTCCGGGGTCGGCTGCAGGTGCTGCAGCATGGTGTGGAACTCGGAGTCGTAGCGCTGGTTGATGTCGTCCCCGATGATGGCGAGCTGCCGACCCACCTGCCCCAAGGTGCTGGGGGAGCGTGGGAGGGAGGGGGGGCAGCTGTCAGGGCCCGGCCCAGGCTCCCGGCTGGCCTTCTGCCCTGGTGGCCCTGGCCTGTGCACCCTCCCCGGAGGTCCCCGGTGTTCTCAGATACGAGGGCTGGGATCGGCCCAGGGACAAGGTGCCCCGGGGGGTGGGGGATGGGGGAGCCCAAGATGAATAAGGAGCCAGAGAGAAAGGAGGGCAAGAGGCCTCCCCAGGGCCCCCGGCTCCCAGGCCCTCCACGGCGACCCGTGTGAGCATCTGTCTGCCCCCCTGATGCGTGCCCGCGGGGCCTGCTCACCTGTCAGGCTCCGGGGACAGGGTGACCATCTCTGGGTCGGCGGGGGCCGCCGCCTCGGCTTCCTGCTCCTGCTGATGGCGGTAAAACACGTAGCTGCGGAAAACCTCCTCCGCGTCCCGGGCCACCTGCTCCTCTGGGGACCAAAGCCGGAGTCAGGGGGGAAGCCGCGCTGGCGCCCGGCTCTGGGGAGGGTGCTCTCACTGCTGCCCCCCCGCCCCCGCGGCAGGCCGCCCCCGTGCTGGCTCGGAGGGGCCGCTCTCCCGCACTTTCCACTTAGTCCCGCGAGCAGGCAGCTGAGGCCCGAGGCCGGGAGGCAGTCACCGCACGAGATCCCACAGCCAGAGCGGGGCCAGGACGACCAGGGCGTTTGGAACCCCGAGTTTAGTGTGACCAAGGCCCAGCCCTGGCGGCTTAGGGGTCGTGGGGCCATAGGTCACATGGGGACATACGGGCAGACCTGGGGCTGAACCCGAAGTCCAGGGAACAGCCCGCGAGAGCGAGAGAGCAGCAGGCTTCCCAGGTCCCCACAGAAGAGGGAAGGGCAGCCGTCTCACTTCCTCTAAAGGTAGGACCGGATCAATCATTTCCCCCGTGGGATTAGCCTCTACTTCCTCATTTCTCCCCCCCCACCCCGGGACAGCAGCCCCGCCCACTCTTCCTTCTTCTCGCCCATCCCGCCCTGGCACTGGGATGGCCCGTCCCAGGGCCCGCTCACCCCCGCCCTCCTGCCCAGCGCAGGGCTGGCTTCCCGGGATCTCTGCCCAGCAGCCACCTGCCCTGGGTGGAGATCATTCTCCCGCGTCCGAGGCGAGTTCACCGAGGAAGAGCGCCTGCCGGGGCCCTCCGGGTCCGGTCCACGCCCGCCCTCCGTCCTCACGCCCGCCCTCCATCCTCACCGCCGCCCTCGGTCCTCACGGCCGCCCTCCGTCCCCACGGCCGCCCTCCCGGTCCAGTCCACGCCCGCCCTCCGTCCTCACGCCTGCCCTCCGGGTCCGGTCCACGCCCGCCCTCCGTCCTCGTCCTCACGCCCGCCCTCCGTCCTCACCGCCGCCCTCCATCCTCACGGCCGCCCGGGCGGTACGGGGTGGGCGAGGGGCAGAAGACTTACCGGAAGCGGCGGCCGGGGCAGCCTCTTCGCAGCCCTGCGGGGGCGGGCCCGGTCCTTGCCCAGAGGCCATGTTTCAGGCCGCGGGGGAGAGCAGTGTTAGCCTGTGGGATGGTGAGAAAGAGCAAAGGTGGGGACAGGCAGGGGCCACAGACCAGAGGTTTCCACAGCCACACGGGGGTCACGTGGCCCCGTCTCCCCGAAGGACACCCAGTCCGAGCTCCAGCCCCTTGCATTTCACTGGCAACTCTTCAGGGAAGCCCAGGGGTGAGCAAAGCAAAGCAGCCAAGACCCGTGCAGGGACCTGCACCCCGGCTTCCAGGGCCCCCGTGCTTCCCAAGTCAATTTCAGCTCAGGCACAGGGTCGCAGGGTCACTCAGGCTGGCCACCTTCCAGCCAAGGACCTCGAAGCCCCTCGCCCCTGGCTGGTCAGAGCACACCCATTTCCCAGCTCAGGCCTGTGAGCGCGATGGCGCTCTGCCAGCTGTGCGCTCCCTCCGGTGCCGACACTGACGGGCACTCACCCAGCCAGGCAGGCTCCTCACACCCGTGTCTCAGGCGGCGGGTGAGGCGCGTGGAGGAGGGGCCCGGGCCCCGGAGGCTGTGACTGGATCTCCACAGGCCCGTGCATTCAGCACTTTTAAGATTTAGTTTCCAGTTGTGGGTCTCAGAGGGTGTTCCTCCCGGGCATCTTTCTGTTAGGCCTGGCCGTGTCCTCCACTCCGGCCTTGCAGCCAGGCCTCCAGCACAGCCCCGCCTGCCTACCGCTGGCGCCCCCTCACCCACACTGCTCTCCTGCCCAGCCCGTTTTCTCTGCCAGCAGCGTGGCCTGATCGGCTACGAGCCCTAGACAGAGGGATTAGTTCTGGGATATGAGCCGTTTCACTTTCAATTTGGACCCCTCCGTTTCCCCGCACACCCAAGCATTTCCCGGAACCCCCACACCCTCCCTCCATCCCCGGGGAGGGAAGTCCCCACCCCGGGCCAGGCTCAGCCGCCCGCCTTGCCCCTTCTCGCAGGCCTGGGCTGTTTTTAGGGCTCTCCGGCTCGCTCTCCTTTCTCAGGGTGGGTGGGGGAGAGGGCAGGCCCTCCCGCCTCCATCCTCAGGTGCCCCTCAAAATAGGCCTTTGCCTAGCACCCCCACTTCCAGCTCCTCCTGGAAGAAGATGCCCTTGCCTCTCCCCTGGTCCCCCAAACCCGGCCCCCCAGGACAGCAAGGCCAGAGGATGCTGCCTGCACCTGCAGCTCCCGCTCCCCCTCCCCCCTGGGAGCTCCCTGCTGGAGCCTCGGCACAGCCCCAGGACCAGAGGCCTCTGCCCACCAGGGCCTGCCCCTGCCCGCCAAGAGGCATGACTTCCTGGTGAGGCGAGTTCCCTGCACCCCATCTACCGGTTTGCGGGGCCCGGCCGTTCCCCAGGGGAAAGGCCTGGCGGGGCTGCAGACCTCCTGGGCAGCAGGAAGCCCTGAAAGAAAGAGAGTTCTCCCCCAGTTTGACCTTGGCTCTGACCTCCATTCCGGCCTCCCCGACTGCTAAAAGGCTCGGTCCCTCGCACCCGGCTCTCAGGCACCAGGGCCAGGGCAGAGGGGCGGCAGAGGCAGCCCGCGGATCCGGGCCCCGCGGCGGGTGTGGAAGCTGCCCGGGCAAAGCCTTCCTCCCAGCCCTCCCAGCGCTCCCCCTGCCCCACCCTGAGCCTGGGGCTGCCACGACCCATCCCACCGGAGCGGGTGGGCCGGTCCCCGCGGCTTACCTGCCCAGACCCGGGCCTAGGCCGGGGGACCTCCGTGGGGCCGAGGCTGGGGGGCCCGAGGGGCTGCTCCAGGGTCAGCTGCCCGGGCCCGGCGTCCTGGGGCGGCTGTCAGCCAGTTCCTGCGTCCGACGCAGCCTCTGCGGGTCCCAGGGCGACCCAGAGGCGCCGGGAGCGTGGAGGAGCCGGCAGCTCCGGCTCCGGCAGCTCCCTCTAGAGGAAGTGGCTCTGCAGCCGCCGGATGCGGATGTACAGCCTCCCGGCCGGGGCCGGGCGTCCGTCTGAGCTCGCCCCTCATCCCGCAGCCCCCGCCCGGCGAGTGGCTCCTCCTCCCGCCGCTCTTCCCACCCCGTCCCCGGTCTTTCCTCCCTCCCCTCGGTCAATGCCAGTGGGAAACCAGGATGGTGATGTTTCTCCTGCACGCAGGCTGGTGAATCTTCTCACTGGATCTTCCACTGCACCCACTGCACGGAGGAGCCAACTGAGGCCCAGCTCCCTGGAAGTCACCCAGCTGGGTTTATAATCCAGTCCGGAGGGGCCCTGGGAAATAACAGCCCTACACTGGGGCTCAGGCACCTCTGTGGTCTCTGGAACCACAGCGCTGGCCTTCGCTTCCTCCCGGTCAACTGGGCACCGCAGTGCTGAGCCGCTTCAAGTTTGGGGGATTGGTAGAGACGTGACGTGAGGGATCCGTGCTGAGGAGTTTGGGGGCAGCTTCCAAAGCAGCATGACGCCTTACAGGACGTCATGCCGGGAGCAGGGGAGCGAGAGTTTACTGATGAATTTGAAAAGAAAACCCCCGATATTTACTAGTGGAACCGCTAATCTTGCTGAAAACAAGAGGGGAAAGTTGTAGCATAAGGGGAATGTGGACTCGATCTTGGCGGACTACAGTTTCGTCCCTAAGATACTCAGCTCAAATATTTTGAAAAACAGTTTGAACTGTCAGAGCAGACAAAAGTACCAAAGTTTCTTCACTGTTGAAACTCACATGCTGAATTTTTTAAATATATACTTTTATTGGTTTCAGAGAGGAAGGGAGAGAGAAATATCAATAGAAACGTCAATGATGAGAGAGAATCGTTAATGGGCTGCCTCCTGCACGCCCCTTACTGGGGATCAGGCTCACAACCGGGACATGTGCCCTGACCGGAATCCAAAGCGGGGCCCTTCAATCCGCAGGCCGACCACTCTCCACTGAGCCGCACCAGCTCCGGCCGGCTTTCTGCACGGAATAAGGCGAGCTGGGGGTGTGGGTGGAGCAGCGCAGCCGTTTGATGGCACTGGGCAGCGGCAGCCGCTGGCGTGGTCTCCGTAGGACCTGGTGCTGCTCGCTGACACTGTGTGCCTGGGGGAGTTCAGAAGTCAGTCCCTGGTGAGAATTAATGATGGAGACTGATGCACCTTGGTGTGGAGTGAAAGAACACATGCTGGTTCAAAATACATAAAAACGTCATTCCCACCTGGCCCTGCATGGCTCAGTGGCTGAGTGTTGACCTATGAACCAGGAGGTCAGGGTTCAGTTCCGGTTCAGGGCACATGCCCCATTGCAGGCTCCATCTCCAGTGGGGGGCATGCAGGAGGCAGCCAATCAACGATTCTCTCTCATCGTTAATGTTCCTATCTCTCCCTTTCATTCCTCTCTAAAACCAATAAAAATATATTAAAAACAAAACAAACAAAAACCCCCATCATTTCCTACCAGGAAATGGGAAACCGGGCACTGTTTGAGGGACAGAAATGAGCCCTGCAGGCGAATCCTAATACTGGAGGGTCCCCTGGAATTGGCAGTTCCCTATAGAGCCGTGGTCGGCAAACCGCGGCTCAAGAGCCACATGCGGCTCTTTGGCCCCTTGAATGTGGCTCTTCCACAAAATTCCACGGACGGGCCGAAACCAGTTTGGCTCAGTGGATAGAGCGTTGGCCTGTGGACTGAAAGGTCCCGGGTTTGATTCCGGTCAAGGGCATGTACCTTGTTGGCAGGCACATCCCCAGTGGGGGTGTGCAGGAGGTGGCTGGTCGATGTTTCTCTCTCATTGACGTTTCTAGCTTTCTATCCCTCTCCCTACCTCTCTGTAAAAAAATATTAATAATATATATATATATTTAAAAAATACCATGAACTGCCTGGGCAAGTCTATTTTGAAAAAGTGGCGTCAGAAGAAGTTTAAGTTTAAAAATGTGGCTCTCAAAAGAAATTTTAATCGTTGTACTGTTGATGTTTGGCTCTGTTGGCTAATAAGTTTGCCGACTGAAAGATTTTTCTGACGTATTTTCCATCATGTATGTAACATTTCATGGTAAAACTTAATGAAAGTTTCAATAAAGGAATTCTCTGGGGGGAAAAACAAAACAAGGGAGCTCTGTGCACCCACCTGGAACGAACTGGGCGCCTGGAGGCGGAGGGGAGAGCCCTCCGGCCAAGCCCAGGAAGGACCAGCCAGGTGCAGAGGGCGTGCCGAGTCCTCTAGACCCCGTGCCCCCTCTCAGGGCCCGGGCGCCCAAGCCTCCTCTGCCCCCACCCACCCACATGCTTCCTCACCAGCCGCCCGCAGGCTGGCTCCCCATGCCCCCTCCCTGCCTCAGCACCCCCCTGCCCTCTCTGCCCCCGCCAATCCCCCACCACGTCCCCCATCACTCCCCACTCCCGCCTGCCTGCCCTTGGCCTTCTGGAACTCCTGGAAGTTTCCGGCGGGAGCTTTTAATTTGAAAGCACCTCCAGTTCTTAAGCAGTTGGTCCTGGGGGACTGCTACGGCCCCTCCCTCCGAGTCAGGGTCCCTCTCAGGATGGAGAGCCCAGCTCCAACCCCGCGGTCTCCCAATGGGGACCGCTCCTCCGTGCTCCGCTTCTTCCGCAGCCTGGTGAGGAGCAGGGGAAGCCCCAAGAGCTCCCGCAGGCCCCTGCTGGGCCATCGGGAGTGCCCCTCGCAAGAGCCGCGCGCTGGGTCCTTGACGCCCGGCCAGGGGTGAGTGGGGAGGAAGGAGCCCAGGCGCCCGCCCAGGGCACCGCGCCCCCTCTGTGCCCTCCCACAGCGTGATCCCTCGGGGCTGGGGGGCACGGGGCCCAGACCACCCCTCCATGAAGGACTTGAGCGTCATAGTCCTGGGAGTAGAGGTACAGTGCGTGCTGCCCAGAGGAAGCCCGGAGTCCTGTCTGAGAAGGGCAGAGGGGAGAGGAGGAGGAGGAGGAGGCAGCAGGGGCCCCAGACAGTGAGGGGCTGGGCTGTGGGTGGTGGGAAGGGGCCTGGACAGAGGTACTGGGACAAGGTCTGGATGGATGCTGGGGTGGTGCCTGGACTGGGAGTCTTTGGAGGGTGGAGCACTGGACAGGGACCTGGGTGGGCAGGACGGACATCAGGGTGGAGGCACCGGGAGAGGGGTGCGTTGGAGGTGTGGAAGGAAGCAGGGATGAGGGTCCTCCCACAAGTGAGGGCTGCGGAGGGGGCTCCAAGGGAAAAGGAGTCCTGCAGGGCCGGAAAGGCGCCTTCGGGGGCGTCGGTGCACTGTTCCCACTCCACCTGCCCCGCCCTTTCCTCCTGGTCCCCACCCCCACCCCGCCTCCAGGATGAAGCCCCCGAGGCCCAGCGGGAGCTGGGAGCAGGGGATGGAGGCGCTGAGCAGGGCTGTGGGAGAGCCTTGGGGGATGTGGGGATATCCGGGGCCTTTAGTCTCTGGGCCCCGCCTGCCACCCTCCCCTGACTCCGCTTTAGGATCAGCGTCCAAACCCTGGAGGTGGAGCAGAGGGCCACGGGGCCACTGGAGGTCAGCCCGGAGGCCCCAGCCGTGGAGGAGCAGTGTCTGCTGGATGGTGAGTGTGGCCGCAGGCGTGGGGCGGGGTCAGAAACAGCCCTCTTTGAGGACTCTGCAGGGCTGGGCCGGGAAGGACAGCCTAGGGGATGGCTGGAGGCAGGCTGCCTGGGGTCCCAGGGGCAGTGCGATGGCAGCAAATTGCTCAGCCTTTCTGTGTCTCCGTTTCCCCATCTAAAAATGAGTGTGCATAGTTCCTACCTCAGAGGGTAGCTGCGAGAACTAAATGAAACGTCCTTTGTAAAGTGCCCGAGCTGTGCCTGGCGCACAGCAGGTGTTTGCTAAGGAAAACCAGGCGGCCTCCAGCTGCCCCTGCCCCCGGGCCGGCTCACCCCAGTGCCGCTGACGGCGCCTGCCCTTCACAGGAGAACTCAGGCTGGCTTCTCTGAACATGGGGGCGACTCCCTGGAACCACATCCTCGCCTTGTACAAGCAGTTTCAGAAGCTGGCCATGGCCAAGGTGTGTGGGGCCCGGCTGGGGAGCGCGGGGAGGCCCGGCGGGGTGGGGCCCTGCCCGGTGGGGGGTGGGGCCCAGGACGTGAGCTCGGCGAGTGGGAGCAGCCCCCTCTTCACCCCGGAGCGGTGCGGCGGCTTCTGTTTTGGGTGGAGGGGGCGCTGCAGGCTGGGCCGGCTCACTGCTCAGGGCCCTGGCACACCCTCAGCTGCCTGTCGAGGAGGAAGGCGAGGAAGAGGAAATGGAGGAAGAGCTCTGTGTCCCAGTCACCCTCCATCCGCCACTGCATAAGAGGTTGAGGCCAGTAGATACAGTGGGTAAGTGGAGTGCCCCCACGTCCCCCCCCAACACGAACCAGCCGCCCCGTTTCCTATGGGCTCATGAGTGCGATGCCAATGCCAGTTCGTACCACCAGGTGGCACCATAGGACATAAGATGACCCCCTGGGCAGTTGGCCAGAGAGAGGCTGGGCAGGAGGCCTCCCCTCTAGGCAGGGTCCTCCTCCTGGAGGTGAGGGTTGTGGCCTGGGCTGCGGCTGCACCAGCCTCCCCGCCCGGATTCCTCTCAGCGGCCCCTCCAGCTCTGACAGCGCCCCAGAGGCTGTCCCTGAGGGCAGATGAGAGAGCGGGGAGGGCAGCATACGAAGCCATTATGTCAACCTTCACATAATCATTTCTATGGGCCATCTCCTCCTCTGAGCGCCTTTCACACAGTAATGAGCTGGATTCCGAGGTGGGTCTATCCCCACCCCTTCACAGTGGAGAAGCCAGGCACAGAGGTTCAGTGACTCACCCGAGAGCACAGAGCTAGGAAGTGGCAGGGCCGGGACTCGAACCCCCTAGGGAGTTCGGATGGCTCAGACCCAGGACTGGAGGGGAGTAGACGTCTGTCCTCGCATGGTTCCCAGGGGCTGAGGAGGCACCCACGCTGCCGGGGGGAGCCCGGGGAGCGTCTGGGGAGCTGGTGTCTGGGGAGCGGGTGTGGAGAGCCCTGTGGCTGGGCGGCCGGCCGGGATGGGAGCCTCCAGCAGCGTGCTCAGGCCTGCTTCGGCCGGCCCGGCCACCTCTCCGGCTCTCAGGTTTCGTGGAGTCAGAGTTAAAGAAGTTTCTGGCAGCACAGCAGGAGTCCCGCCGCCGGAGGATGGGCAGCCAGGCGCCTCTGGTCCCGCCAGAGTTCACCCTGGAGGGCATTGTGGGTGACCAGGTATGCCACCCACCCAGCCGAGGACACTGGCAAAGGCGGGGCTGGAGGCCTCCATGGCCCCGCCGGCCCAGGCTCCAGCCCGCCCCCACTGCCTGCTAGGGAAGCCATGATTTCCTCTTGGTGGTATTTCTGAGAGTCCGACCCTGACCCCTGCACACACACACTTCCCCGTCAGTCTCTGTCTCTCATTTCCAAATACTCTTTAAAAAAAAAAAATTATATATATATATATATTATTGATTTCTTACAGAGAGGAAGAGAGGGGGATAGAGAGTTAGAAACATCGATGAGAGAGAATCATCGATCAGCTGCCTCCTGCACACCCCCTACTGGGGATGCGCCCACAACCAAGGTACATGCCCTTGACCGGAATCGAACCCGGGACCTTTCAGTCCGCAGGCCGACGCTCTATCCACTGAGCCAAACCGGTCCGGCCAAATACTCTTTTTTTTTTATTATTATACTAGAGGCCCAGTGCACGAAATTCATGCACAGGGGAGGGGGGTCCCTCAGCCCAGTCTGTACCCTCTCCAATCTGGGACCCCTCAAGGGATGTCTGACTGCCCATTTAGGCCTGATCCCATCGGACTGCTGGCTCCCAACTGCTCACCTGCCTGCCTGATTGTCCCTAACTGCTTCTGCCTGCCAGCCCGATCACCCCCTATCCACTTCCCTGCCAGCCTGCTCAATGCCAAACTGCTCCCCTCCTGGCCCCATTGCCCCTAACTGCCCTCCCCTGCAGGCCTAGTTCCCCCCAACTGCCCTCCCCTGCGGGCCTGGTCCCTCCCAACTGCCCCCCTCTGCTGGCCATCTGGGGCAGCCATCTTTGACCACATGGGGGCAGCCATCTTGTGTATTGGAGTGATGGTCAATCTGCATACTACTCCACACCCTCCCGGCCGAGGCTGCAGGGCGGGTGTGGAGCCCCCTGGAGTGGTGTCCAGCAGAGGAGAGGACGGGGGGCCGCTGGGTGCTGCACTCCCCCAGTTGCAGGGAGAAAGGTCCCTCCTCTTGTGGGGGGAAGTAGCCAGGAGGGTGGGCGGGGTCCGCTGGGCGGGGAGGCTCTGGAAAGGTGGCCTCGGCAGGTGGGAGGCTCTGGGGTGCAGAGCCAGAGGGGAGCCCGATGCTGAGCCCCTCCTCCCCGCTCTGCCCCCAGTGCCTGCTCCTCGAGGAGATGCATGACCTGGGGGACTGGCCTCCGCTCGAGTGAGCGGGGCTGGGCGTCTGCCCCCCCGGCCGGCGGCTCGGAGCAGCCCTCTCCGGGGGAACATCCGGAGTCCGGGCCAGGGGCGGGTAAATGGTCCCCCCACCGGCCGGGGCTGTGAGGTCCGAATAAAGCCCAGTGTGACTCCGGCCTCTGGTTGTCTGTGGATCTGCGGCTCATCGGCACCGGAGCAGCTCTGCTGGCGGAGGGGGTGGGGAGTGGGGGGATTGGGGAGCGGAGGGGGCTCAGTCTAGCCCGGTCTGTGCCTGCCGCGCCCTGGGCTCCGGGGCAGGTGCAGCGGGTGTCGGCGGGAGGACAGGAGGTCTGTGCACCTGGCAGGGGCGGGAAGGACCCTGGCCAGGCCTGCATGTCCCTGACTTCCCTCCCGCCCGTTCCCAGCCGGCTGGTGGCCTCGCAGGGAGGATCCGGGAATTCTCCGGCAGGAAGTTCCTGCCCAGCCCGCACAGGGACAAAGCCAGGAAAGCAGCCCTGGGCCGCGGGGCCTGCTGGGGGCTGGGCAGGTGAAGGGTCCACACAGAGGCCCTCCCACTGCCCTGGGTGCAGCCCCGCCAGGCTCAGCGCCCCTCGGGGTCCTGGGCCAGGAGCTCCAGCCGTCCAGGAGGCCAGCCCCCGCCCCCCAGCAGCGACGGGGCAGGAGTGGGAGGCTCACTTCACACGGGATCAGTTTGGACACCAGGAGGTGCTGTTGTCTTCCCTTCCATGGTCCAAGGCTCTGAGAAGAGAGAGAGAGAGAGAGAGAGAGAGAGAGAGATTGAGAGCACTCACGCTGCCCCAGCTCTTCTCATGGTGGTCTGGCCTGCTCCATGGGCACCCCCACCCCACCCCACCCCATGGCTGCCTGACCCTACTGCACAGCTGAAGCTCAATAGCAGAACACGGCGGCCTCTCTCAATCACGTGGCTGATAACAGTGCTTGTTGGGTGGTGGCATGTGCGTGGGGTGGTGCAGGGGGACTGCAGTGACTGGCCTGTCCCTGCCCAGCCCAGCCGGCGAGGGGAGTCCCCCCTCCAACCCCATGGGGCTGGGGCTTTCTCCTAGGCTTCCTGGCCAGGCCCCGCATGCCTGGCTCAGCCATGGGGCTGGGGGCTGGGGGCTGCCTGGCTCAGCTGTGGGGCTGGGGCTGGGGCCCGCCTGGCTCAGCTGTGGGGCAGGGGGGGCTGGGGGCTGGGGGGGCTGGGGGCTGGGGGCTGGGGGCTGGGGCTGGGGCCGGGCGTCTGGGCTGCCCCCTGAGTGGGCGGGAAGCAGCCTGAGGCCTGAGACTCACCTGTGCTCTAGTGCTCCCCCAGAGCCCTGGCTGCTGGAAGGCGGTTGGGCCTAGACCGCTGCTCTCCCTGCAGGGACCCCAGAGGACACCGCTCCCCCACTTCCTGACCGGCCCCACCTGGGGCAGCTGTGCACCGGTGGGGGGGGGGCTGGGGCCCAGAGCACAGCAGCCGGAGCTTCGGCCCCTGCCCGGTGGCCCTGGGCTCCCGGGTCCAGGCTGGCACCAGTGGTCAGGGCGGGCCAGGCCCTCGGCTCAGGCTGAGGAGGTGGGGGCAGGGCTCCCGGCTCACAGAGGGGGACTCTGCTCCTTCCTGTCCATTGAAGGCCATGCCACCTCTGCATTCACCCCACCCGCTTCCCACGACCGCGGAGAGGAGGGTGGGGTGGAGGGGCAGCATGGGGGCGGCTGCCGAGGCAGGAGCAGGGAGCTGGCACGGCAGGGCCTGGCCGGCTCTCGGGGGCCTGGGCCTGGCTCTGGGTGTGTGGCCAGGGCGGTGGGGACAGGGCCCGGCGGCCAAGCGCACAGGCTGGGCTCAGCGCACACACGGAGAGGCCCTGCTTGTCCGAAAGGCTTCGAGGGACCCGCAGGCGCATCTGAGGGTCAGACTGGGCACTGGACGGCATTTGCAGTTGCGGTCCTGTGCCAGGTGGGCGCTGCCCTGCTCAGGGTGAGAGGGCTCTGAGACCCGGGAGGGTGCCTCTTTCTAATTGGCCCAAAGGGGGGGAGGGCACCAGCTGTACTATTTCCAGGTGAGAAGTGAGACGGGAGCAGACAGGCAGAGGGGGGCAGGGCTGGCTGCAGGGGACCCACCCTCTGAATCTCATTCCTACGCCGTGAAATGGGGGGATCCGGCTTCGGTGGCTGCAGGAGGTGCAGTGTGGCCTGGAACAGCATTTAGTGAGCATCTGCTACCCCCTCCTGTTCCAGGCGCTGAGGAACAGAGATGTGCACACAGCTAAAGAGCCCACCTTTCTGAGCGTTTATCATTCCCGGGGGTAATAATAGGCGTAAGCGGTCAGGGAGGGACAGTGCGATGGAGATGAGGCGGGCACCAGGGCTGTCAGGCAGCAATGGGTGTGCACGCAGGGGCGCCAGGGCAGGCGGACCAGGGGCGGGGCGGCCTGACAGCGGGAGCTCGGCCTGGGCCAACGCCCTGCGGGGGAGCACCTGGGGCTGGGGACCAGGCGGGAGCACCTGGGGCTGGGGACCAGGCGGGAGCACCTGGGGCTGGGGACCAGGCAGGAGGACCTGGGGCTGGGGACCAGGCGGGAGCACCTGGGGCTGGGGACCAGGCGGGAGGATCTGGGGCTGGGGACCAGGCGGGAGGACCTGGGGGCTGAGGACCAGGCGGGAGCACCTGGGGCTGGGGACCAGGCAGGAGGACCTGGGGCTGGGGACCAGGCGGGAGCACCTGGGGCTGGGGACCAGGCGGGAGGACCTGGGGGCTGAGGACCAGGCGGGAGCACCTGGGGGCTGAGGACCAGGCGGGAGCACCTGGGGCTGGGGACCAGGCGGGAGGACCTGGGGCTGGGGACCAGGCGGGAGGACCTGGGGCTGGGGACCAGGTGGGAGGACCTGGGGGCTGAGGACCAGGCGGGAGCACCTGGGGCTGGGGACCAGGCAGGAGCACCTGGGGCTGGGGACCAGGCGGGAGGACCTGGGGCTGGGGACCAGGTGGGAGGACCTGGGGGCTGAGGACCAGGCGGGAGCACCTGGGGCTGGGGACCAGGCGGGAGCACCTGGGGCTGGTTACCAGGTGGGAGGACCTGGGGGCTGAGGACCAGGTGGGAGCACCTGGGGCTGGGGACCAGGCGGGAGCACCTGGGGCTGGGGACCAGGTGGGAGGACCTGGGGCTGGGGACCAGGTGGGAGGACCTGGGGGCTGAGGACCAGGTGGGAGCACCTGGGGCTGGGGACCAGGTGGGAGCACCTGGGGCTGGGGACCAGGTGGGAGGACCTGGGGGCTGAGGACCAGGCTGGAGCACCTGGGGGCTGGGGACCAGGCGGGAGGACCTGGGGGCTGAGGACCAGGCTGGAGCACCTGGGGCTGGGGACCAGGCGGGAGCACCTGGGGCTGGGGACCAGGTGGGAGCACCTGTGGCTGGGGACCAGGCGGGAGCACCTGTGGCTGGGGACCAGGCGAGAGCACCTGGGGGCTGGGGACCAGGCGGGAGCACCTGTGGCTGGGGACCAGGCGAGAGCACCTGGGGGCTGGGGACCAGGCGGGAGCACCTGGGGCTGGGGACCAGGCGGGAGCACCTGGGGCTGGGGACCAGGCGGGAGCACCTGGGGGCTGGGAGGGAGTGGGCGGGAGACTGGGAAGGAGGGGAAACGGGGTACTGGGCTGAGCTGACGTTTTATCAGTGACAAGTGACGAGACGTGGTTGACCTTCTGAAGGTCCCCCTGGGCCCTGGCCCGCAGCTCAGCTGGTCAGAGTGTCGCCCTGGTGGGTTGTGGGTTCCATCCCATCAGGCACGTGCAGGCAGCAGCCAGTGCATCATCAATAAGTGGAACAACGGCCGAGACCAGTTTGGCTCAGTGGATAGAGCGTCGGCTTAGGGACTGAAGGGTCCCGGGTTCGATTCCGGTCAAGGGCATGTACCTTGGTTGCGGGCATATCCCCAGTAGGGGGTGTGCAAGAGGCAGCTAATCGATGACACTCTCCCATCGATGTTTCTAGCTCTCTATCTCTCTCCCTTCCTCTCTGTACAAAATCAATAAAAAAATAAAAATAAGTGGAACAACGAACGGATGCTCCCCGCCCCCCTCAAAAATAAATAAATAAATAAATAAATAAATAAATAAATAAACAAATTTATAAATTTTTAAAAACTCTCTCCCTGCCCTGGCTGGTTTGGCTCAGTGGATAGAACGTTGTCCTGTGGACTGAAGGGTCCCGGGTTCGGTTCCAGTCAAGGGCATATGCCTGGGTTGCAGGTTCAATCCCTGATAGGGGGGCGTGCAGGAGGCAACTGATCAATGATTCTCATGATTGATATTTCTCTCTCTCTGTCTCTCCCTCTCTGGAATAAATAAAAACATTAAAAAACAAACAAACAAACAAACAAATTCTCCCCTGAGTGGAGAAGAGGTTGCGGGGGAGGGGGCGGGGACGGGGGCGGGGACGGGGGGGGGGGTGGAGCAGGGAGGCCCCTGGGGAGGCTGGGGCTGCGGGGGAGGAGGGACGCACCACTGTCTCCAGCACTAGGAGCACCTCTGCACCTTGTGCAGTGGAATACCCGCCCTGCCCCAGAGGCTGGAGAGGAAGAGGGTGACCTTGGGGTGTGGGGCCCCAGAAGGTCCCATTGAAGGCAAGTGGGCAGCTGATCATATATGTGAGGGCAACTTCAGCGTGTGTGTGTGTGTGTGTGTGTGTGTGTGTGTGTGGAGGGGGGACTTTGGCGTGTGTGCATGTGTGTGTGTGTGTGAGAGAGAGAGAGAGAGAGAGACCTGTGTGGGGGAGCGGGAGGCTGCAGGGGCGGTTGGCACCAGGCTGTGTGCTCGCTGAGGCGCAGCAAATGCGTCCCCGGAGGATGGGATGGGCTGGGCCAACGTGGGAGCCAGTGAGCCCTGTGCTTCCGCTCCCTGTGGCCCTGACCCTGACCCGGGCGGCCCAGGCTGGAGCCGGGTCGTCTGCTGAGTTAACCTGCCATCGACCAAGGATCAGCCACCTCTCCCTCCGTGAATTCACAGCCGGGGGGCGGGGCAGGCAGGAGTAACAACAGACCCCAACCACAAAGATCGGGTGATGTAACAGGTTTGGAGACTGAGCAG